ATCCATCCTAATGCTGCCAGTTGGCCCAATGATGAGAATCTTTGTCTTCTTGACATTGAGCCTCAATCCATATTGGAGGCTGCAGTCCTTGACCCTCTGTAGCAAGCGCTTCAGGTCCTCCTCAGTTTCAGCAAGCAGGGTTGTATCATCTGCATATCGCAGATTGTTGATAGATCTTCCACCAATCTTGTCCCCACATTTCTCCTCATAGAGCCCAGCCTCCCTGATAATCTGTTCTGCGTACGAGTTGAAAAGGTATAGACACAGGACACATCCCTGGCGTGCACCCTTCCCAATTTTGAGCCAGGCAGTGTTTCCTTGCTCTGTTCTGACAACTGCCTCTTGGTCCAAGTATAGGTTTCTCATTAGCACGATCAAGTGTTTTGGTATTCCCATTATTCTCAGAGTCAGCCATAGTTAGTTATGATCCACACAGTCAAACGCCTTTGCATAGTCAGTGAAACACAGATAGACATTCCTCTGGTGCTCCCTGCTTTCAGCTAAGATCCATCTAACATTAGCTACAATATCCCTAGTACCACGACCCCTTCTAAACCCAGCCTGGACTTCTGGCAGTTGTCTGCTGATGTGTTATTCCAGTCATTTTTGGATAATCTTCAGTAGAATTTTGCTTGCATGTGAAATCAATGAGATGGTTCTATAGTTTCCACACTCTGTTGGGTCACCTTTCTTTGGGATGGGAACAAATATTGACCTCTTCCAGTCAGTTGGCCAAGTGGTTCTCCAGATTTCTTGGGACAATTTTGTGAGTACTTCCAGGGCAGCATCTGTTAGCTGAAATATGTCAATTGATATACCATCTTTTCTTGGGGCCTTATTTTTTGCTATTTCCTTCAAAGCAGCTTGAACTTCTTCCGTCATCACCATAGGCACTTGCTCATATGTTGTTTCATGAAATCCTTCTGTGTCTGCCAATTCCTTTCCATACAGTGACTCAGTATATATGATAGTATGAGACTTAGCAATATTAAGGCATCATGTCCAATTGGAACAGTTTACAGGTCAAGGAGAACACAGGTTAG